CGAGCGGGCGGTAAGCCCTTGGCGTGTGGCGAGACGAGTTTTTCGCCATGCAGCGAGCAGCAAGCCGCCCGCCGCAAACGGCCGGAGGCATCGCCGCAGCGCTGTCTGCGCCGCGGTCCCGCACCCGTCGACGCAGCTCCCCCCGCGGAAGACCGCGCGTAGCGACGCCTTCACGATCGAGATGAGCGCGCTCGAGGCTCGCCCACCTACTGCCCCTGAGAGTTGGTTACTGAGTGGGATCAGCTCCCCCCCTTGGGATCGAAGCCGCCACAACCTCACACCCAACACCACAGGTGGGATCAGAGAGAGACTCCACACCGGACACCGCCCGGGCACAGACTCCCTACCCATCGGATTGCACAGGGCCCCCTCGGAGCAGCCCACACACAATCACGCATCGGCAGATTGAGTGCCTGAGTCAGGCTCTCTCTCTCTCTCTCTCTCTCTATTCCGCTAACGGATCTTACGTCGCCTGTAACCTCTCTTTAAGGTATTGCTAAAAATTCTGCAAAGGTATGTGAACGGAGAGAGCAAACTCCTGGCAGCTCCCACAGTCAAAATGTGCGCCAGCTGCCCGCTCACCTGTGTCACGCCGCCGCGCACGCAGCTCGCTGTGTGCGCGTTCGCGCGTCCTGCAGCGTCGCCGGCCGCAGGCCAGGGAGCTCGGCTCCTCGAGAGCACCGACGGACGACGATCGGCTCCTCAGCAGTGGGACGCCGAGCTGGAGGCTCGGCCCGGAGCTCGCGCGGGCACGTGGAGCTTTCCGCTCGGGCCAGCAGGAAACGGGCGCCCCGCACAGCGACGCCCGCCGTAGAGTGCCGAGAGCTCGGCTCGACGCGAGCGCCGAGGAAAAGCGATCGGCTCCGCAGCAGTGGGACGCCGAGCTGGAGGCTCGGGCGGGAGCTCGCGCGAGCACATAGCGAGGTGCGTGCGCGGCGGCGTGACACAGGTGAGCGGGCAGCTGGCGCACATTTCGACTGTGGGAGCTGCCAGGAGTTTGCTCTCTCTGTTCACACCCCTTTGCAGAATAAATAAATACAACGGACACGCCAAACGAGGGGTGGGAGAAGGACAGGGTCCCCACCTGCACGAGCAGGATCTTGTAAGGACGATCAGGGAGGGTAAAGAAAGAAAGAAAGAAAACAGACAACCCAAGGGAGGGATGGGAGGACGGCACGCCGCCACCACACAGGGATTTTAAGGAGAGGTGTGTGGTGCGCTATCCGTCGCCCACCCTAGGGAGTCTGCCTCTTCCTATCTCTCTTCGCAGTCTCTCGCCTATTCTCGCTGCAACCTTCATGCCACCTCGCGGTCGTCCCACCCTCGTCGTTCTCTCCCTTGTCACTTCCTCCTCTGACGCGTTGTTCTCTTCTGCCTCGTCCTGCGACGCCGCCACCTGCCGGTCCCTTGTTCTCGCGGCTTCTTTCGCCTGTCGGCGCAACTCCGTCCTCCTCGCGGCGTATCCTGGCCGCTCGAGTCTATCGA